CACTAACGAGTCTAGGTAGTCGCCTACGCCTACTCCCTAACCCTAACCCTAACCCGAACCCGAACCCTAACCCTAATCCTAACCCTAATCCTAACCCTAACCATATCAAATAGTGACCAGGGTACGTTTTGGTATACCGGACCGTACCCAGGGTACGTTCCGGCAGTACCCTGGGGGACATAGACCCTATGAGCGCTGCTACGATCTCTGTTTTGCCACATTGAGCAGCCAGCGGGCACGCAACGCCTCACGTGAATCTCCCTCTCGCATACTTGCTATAGTGAACTGCAGAAAGCCCGAGGGAAACTTCACCAGTGTAATTCATGCAAAAATCCCCATCGCATTCTCTGTGTTGTTTAGATTCTCTGTGTTGTTAGATTCGCTGCGTCCCTCGCTATACTCACAACGCGTGCTACTCGCGTGCGTTTCTCTAACTCTTTTCGTACTTACTCTGATCGTATATTGTTAATGTTGGCGTTCCTTTCGCTGGCGTTACTTAGTGTGACCGTATACGTTGTTGTTGTTGATGTTGTATGTTGTTGCCGTACATGTGTTAATGTTGAAAGGCTTGCGCCGGCTCGTCGTGGTCCCGCCGTTGTTGCTGATGACGTTGCGTGTTGTTGCCGTACAGGTGCCAATGTTGCAAGGTCTGCGCTGGCTCGTCATGGGCCAGCCGTTGTTGCTGCTGATGATGATGTTGCGTGTTGTTGTCGTACATGTGCCAATGTTGCAAGGCCTGTGCTGGCTTGTCGTGGTCCCGCCGTTATTGTTGATGATGATGTTGCGTGTTGTTGCCGTACAGGTGCCAATGTTTCAAGGCCTTCGCTGACTCGTCGTGGGCCCGCCATTGGTTCAGCTTGCGCGTCTTCATGTACAGAATCGTCGACCACAAGATCTTTGAAGGCCTCGTACTGTTTGTGATATTCGCCAGCAGTTTAACACTGGTGAGCTTACACGGCGCTGTCCTGCCGCCGCCTTGCCTTAAAGCCTATACGAACCCAACTATGTGTATTTTTCAATGAAAACACTATTATTTTGTGTATTATTACTATGGGTATTTTTACTGTGTATTTTTGGGGAATTCGCATAGGCTTTAATTGTTGTCACCCATGACACGCAAAATGAATCGTAATCATCAAAATTGTAATGGTCCGGCAACATGTGACGAGAAAATATCAATCTCGATATTCAAAATGTTATTTCGTTGAGTTTATTGAGAATATTTCATTTGATAGTTGAGGTAGTTCCCAGCATCACAAGTCATTAGCAACCGATGGTGTATTTATAGACACCGATCAGATATAGATCAATAAAAACTTTCTTGGGTTGTAATTACAAAATTTTGGACTTACGAGGCGTCGTACAAATAAATCAATTAAAAAAAAAAAATTTCGTTGTGACGGATCACAGTTGTCGCATCTAGCGTCGCGGTCATAGTAACTAACCGATACTAGCGCCCCCTATACGCAGCCCTTCGCTCCGCCACGGGCGCCCCCTCTAGTCATTCCGCTTGCTCCGGTGGCGCTCACTCCTGCACATATATTTGGCTTTGTGTTCCGATAGAGGTCGCTGCGTTGTTGTACGTCTAGCAGTCATCGCTCGCGTGCGAACGTTTGCGGTCTAGCACGCACTGAAATCGAACATCCCCCGTCCCCCACACGCACACACACACACGCACACGCACTCCCGCATTGCCGGTATAATTGATCTAATAGAATCACGGACCATAATTGGTCACGTAACGACGATTTGAAATTGCCAGAGAAATGCACAGCTAAAGACTCAGCACGCGCGGTTAGGAAATCGTAGCACGTAAATTAAAAGGAAGACGCGTCTGTGTGGTTTGTTAAATAGTCATGAGTTAGCGTTGCGTGATGCGGTGGAAGCAACTATCGCATGTTTATTGCTCGTTACTATGAAATTTAGTAAGATAATAGAACACGTTTATTCGTATAAAAAATCGATCTATATCTGTATACATAATATAATGTAATTCTTTATTTATTTATTTATTTATTTATTTATTTATTTATTTATGTAATATAATATAGTATAATATAATATAACGTCATGTAATTTATATGTACATAATATATGACATATAATATTATATATATATATATATATATATATATATATATATATATATATATATATCAGGAGTTAATGAAGACAAAGAATGAGTTTGTCTTCATTAACTCTTAATATATATATATTGTATTTTGTATAATCCACTTCTGATACACTAGGTGTTTGAGGATGTCTACTTGGATGAGAAACCGGTTATGAAGGAAGCACTGTTCTACTTGAACATTACCTTCCTGGTGCTGTTCGTCGTCGAAATGCTGATGAAGTGGATAGCATATGGTTTCCACGTGTACTTCACGAACTTCTGGTGCATCCTGGACTGCTTCATCGTCGTCGTAAGTGATGATCGTGGTTTTCACACATTCGCTCATCCGAAAGCAAGATACGATTCCACTTAAAAGAGCAACTAGACTAGGAGAAAGAGAGAGAGCGCACGAGAAAGAGATGAGAGAGAGGAGGAGAGAGAGAGAGAGAGAGGGAGAGAGGAGAAGAGAAAGTGAGATAGAAAAAGAGGGAGCGATAGAGAGATAGACAAGGATATATATATAGAGAGAGAGAGAAAAAGAGAGAGAGAGAAAGAAAGAGAGAGAGAGAGAGAGAGCGAGAGAGAGGAGGGAGAGAGAGAAGAGAGAGAGGTAGATAGATAAAGTGAGAGATAGAGACAGGGAGAGAGGTAGATAGATAAAGTGAGAGAGAGAGAAGAGAGAGAGGTAGATAGATAAAGTGAGAG